TACCTGTGGGGGCGGTGGAGGTGGCATTCCCCTGAATTGCATTTGCTGCTGCGGAATGCCAGCTGCACCTGGTTGCATAGGATGTCCCTGCCAAGCTTGTGGTGCAGGCATTTGCATTGGCGGGTAGACATTAGGCTGCATAGGTGGTNTGGGTAGACATTAGGCTGCATAGGTGGCGGCCGGATTGCTGGAATAGGAGCTGGAGGTATAGGACCATTTGCAAAAGGCCGTGGGGGACCTGGAGTACCAACCGCACCATTGGCTTGTGGAACGCTGGGGGGTCCACTTGCAAACATGGTATGAGGCCTGTTTTTCTGAGTACCTGGATTACTAGCAGCTAAAACCCTTTCTGCATATCATCAACAACAAATTAGAATTCCTAGAAGTGGTTGGAGAAGTAACGATTACATAATTCAAAGAGAAAATAAAGTTCCTGAAATTTCAAACAGCAGAGAAGATGCACAATAGCCACTCGTGCATTTTAAAAAAACCACCTCGCTCATACCTTGTCACTTACTTTTAAGAATTTCAAAATATTAGCTATCTTAAATTTAATTGATATATCAAATTTGTTGGAATAGCACAAGCAAAACAGAGTTCAACAATCTTGATTGAATGACAATTATCCACATCCTAGCATTCACAACTTCATTTTTTTATAACACAGAAGATTCCTACCAGCAGGGGTGCCATGACGTTCCCCTTTTGTATCTTTCTTGTAGGCATAGGAAACTGTAATTTGACGGTTGCAAAGATATTGACCATTCATTGCCTGCAGAAACACCAAGTTGTAAGTCACAGTCCAGATTCATCAGCTAAAGGGAGAGTTAAGTTGTTCAGCCTCTTAGACTCAAGACTGCCCAATATAAATTTTCCCTTTAGTTGTACTGTCCCTTGGATGCAAGGTCAAGCTATAATCCTGGGACCTAACACACAAATGCAAGCTCTGAAGCCAAGGAGTGTGGAAAGAGAAGGAAACATGTAGAGGATTAAGGTATTTTAGCACTACAGTGAGATAACCCATACTTCGGGGTCGTGGTAAGGTCTGCGTACATATTACCCTCCCCAGACCCCATTTGTGGGATTATACTGGGTCGTTGTTGTTGTTGTTGTAGTGAGATAACCCATACTATCACCACTGACCACTGATCCATAGTAATGCATTATACATGCGAGGTAATACTGTAGTTATTTTGTCACGAACGCACTACTAGAATCCTAAGACCATAAAGCACATATGCAAACTCTGAGGCTACGTAGGGAGGAGAAAGGAAAGATGTATATGTTTCAAGTATTTTACGCACAATAGAGAGAAAACACATACTAGCACCACTGATCCAAAATGATGTTACCATATATCTACGGGTACATTTTTTATTTCTATGCAGTTGTTAAATTACACATTTTTTAAGAAAGCCAAGCTTCCATCTCCCATGCCATGTCAGACAAATATTTTACTGCTAAAGGTTTCCAGACAGCCCATTTATAACCAACTTGGAGATGCATCAGTCTCAGATCATATTTGAATAACTGATTGTCGTAACTATTTAACCAGTTGACCTGTCTTTCTGGAATTGAAAGAAAGCGTCAAACGTTGCGATTGTATTATGACTAAACCAGATAAATTAATAGCATAAACCAAACAGGAAAATACTCCACTTCTAACCCAGTACAGCTCCATATCATGCAAATAGCTATCTTCTCCAATCTGATTAGAAATGTGTCCTAATTTATAATCGACTTTAAAAGAAGATAGGACCTCCATACACAGCACAGACTCCAAGTCGAACAATAGCTAAGACTTAAATTTGAACTTTTTGGACTTGTAACTCACAACATATCATGTATCTGTACATATTATGGTTGGTAAGCAAAGAGGTAAATGGACAGTTACCTCAATTGCTGCATCAGAGGCCTCAAATGAATCGTAACTAATGAAACCAAAACCCCGGGAATTCCCTGTCTCAGGGTCTCTCATTATCTGGAACAAAAGATAATACATCAGAAGATAACAACAACCACCACCTCTAAATGGCAAGTAAACTATGTGGTCCTAGTAAAATGTGGAGTGTTGTATGAACCAATATACGCATAGTTATAGAGAAAAACAATATGTGCATTGTTTATCATTCAAGCTGGTCTAGCATTTTAACATGAATCACTAGCTAAGTAAGGAGGCAATCATTAATAACACTGCAAACATGAAGGGGCAATCTCTTTATACCTCCCACACCCCCCGGAGAAAGAAAAGAAAAGACAAGAGAGAACCTGTAGGAATCAACTTTAAAAGGGCTAGATGTCTGTTTAGAGGATGTACAAATACAATATCTCTAGCAGATTGTTAGGATTTAAAAACATAATCTGAAGCATGGACACACAATAAACGAGACTTAATCATCACGGATGGCTAGGAAGTCCAGACACGCATCTTTAAAAGCAGCAAAATGAAGAATCATGAATCATATGAAAGTAGAAGGGAAATGACTTTAACCTTTGGATTTGAGACAATAACTCCAAAAGCACTAAAAGTGTCATATAGAAGCTTCTCATCAACATCCTGCATATAAAACAGAAGTGGATTTATAAGCTAACAGAACTGCTAGCATGAGCAGTGTGATAATATGCAGGTGATGTTATACACCTAAATAAAAGCTGATATCCTATGTCTACGTCCAGACACTTTGGATTAGAATAGCACAAGAGTTTGTAAAATACTGTCAAAGATATCTACTGCTTACAGGATCAAGGTTCCCAACAAACAAGTTGGCACCAACATCAACACTCTTTTTATCTTGTGATGCCTGTACGAGGATAACTTATTAGATTAAATAGAATGTGAAATATGTGGGACAATTCATTATAGAAAGGGGAGATGCATCAATGGCATAGCATTACCTTATTCACTCGTATTGGTTTCCCATAAAGTTTAATCATATTCAGTACCTTTATTGCCTGCATTGGTAGTGCTTTAGAGAGAGAAAGCAAGGAATAGCAAAAACCAAATTCATGGTAAAAGAATATACACAAGACACTAGCAAGTAAAAAGAGAGAAACAAGAAAAACAACTAACACATACATAGTCAGCATCTTCTTCACTTCGGAATTCCACAAAGCCATATCCCTGATGAGCATTAGTAACTCTGTCCTTAGGGACATAAACATTGACTGCAACACATAATGATTTATATAGCGAACAGGTGAGATTTAAAAGAATCTAAATTTCCCAAAAGATTAAAAAAAAGGATAAGAAGATGCTGTTGAAAAATTTAAAACCAAAGTGGATATTAAACAAATTTATCAAGAAGCTCCACTGATTTACTCCCTTTTTTGGGGGACAGGGGGTTCAGCTAAAAATTTAGACATACCTACTGGACCTGCTTGAACAAACAACTCCCATAACAACTCTTCAGAAACCTGAATCCAGGAAAAAAAATTCTCAATTTTCTGAGTAATTCAACCCTGAAAGCAAAAGTACAAAAGCAGAAAAGCGGGGAGGAGCTTGTTGAAGGTACACCAGCATCAAAATGGAGCATCAACTGGAAAAAGATGTTTCATGTATAGGAGGAAGCTAGTCCAATAAGGGTAATGATATTGGAAGGGGAAATTACCTAATCTATCAGCATAAAAGGAAAGAGAAGCAGAAACTATTGCAGGAGATAATTATTCATACCAGAGAAGAAGAAATTATTCACAGCAGAGAAGAAGTTCAGTATTAATGGTGGCAAATGGACATGTTGGGACGAATTTGGGCGGGTTAAAAATGAGTTAACCCATTTTATACTTTCGAGAAGCTTAGTGAATTTAAGGGAAATGCTTTTACATGTATTCCTAGTGACACACTGAGTCTTTGCGTTGTTTTTGAATCAGCTGCTTTTCTATTTAGGTAAGGAAGATCGAATAGAGTGGTGGAGAAGGATAAAACCCTAGGGGATTAGAAGGAAGGAAAGAGATACCTGAGGGTCGAGGTTGCCGACATAGGCGGTGGCGTCTTGGTTGCGCTCCGCTGCGTGTTGGCCCAGCAGGTTTGCTCCCACTCCCGGAGCTATACGAGTCGTCATACTCGGAAAGAAGAATGCTCGGTGCAAGGAAAAACTAAACAACACAAAGGCCCCAAAAATAAAGGGCCAAATATCCAAAATCTCAACCGGGTCGGGTTATAAGTACGGCTTCTGCTATCCTCCAGTATAACGGCAAAAGCCTTGGGCCCACTCCGGCCGGCGAGATAGAGCTTCCGTGAGAAGGCCGATTAATTGCTTCCCGACTCCGGTTTGTATTCCGACGTCATTTCCGGTAGGTTATTGTGTTAGTAACATTTTGATGTATGCAATGATGTGGATAAATTTTCTTGTTTGTCCTCATTTTACACCAATACAAAGAAAATATTTGCAATATAAAAGAATAAGGTAAATTATTATATAAAAGTGTAAGGTAGAAAATAAAATAGGATTATTTTATAATAAAGAAGAGCAAGATAAGAGAAAAAAATAAAATAACAATGTGACGTTTGTATGGATCTAAATCTGACCAAACGAGAATCTGCGTGAAGAGGAACATCAAAAAGTCACTTGGGCCGAAGTCGTATTCATACAATGCTATAGCGCAAGCACCTCGGCCACGGCCGAGGTCGTGTATTCAGAATGCTTGTACAACGAATTAGATGTTACGTCATTTCAGAGGGTCAACCTGTAATACAGTTAAATGACTTAGGTACTCTCGATAATGACCATTGTGTAAATGAGAATACCTACTATATATACTAGGTGAGAGAATGAAGAAAGTGAGAGGATTCACAAATAACACACTTCTTCACTAACCGGGGAAAGGGATTGGAGAATTCGTCTCGTAAATGAGAAGGTTCAGAACCTTGCTATTCATTTTCTGTAGCCATTGTTATGGAATAAATAAAGAAGTACCCTATGGTCATTAATGGTGAATCCTTTCTTTCTTTTTTATTTTACATTATGGAGTAACGATGTCGAGAATGAATGTAGGCTCATCATACACATTAGATTTTTTCCATTATCTTAATGAGTATCTTACCCAACTTTTCTTACTTAGCATTCATTGCTCTAGAGTTAATTATCTTTGGTTAGGATTTATCCTCTATCTTCTTATTTAATCAGTTTAACAAAAGAGCTTAACACTTTTTGGTCATACAATTTGGCGCCGTTTGTGGGGATTTTCTAGCCAAAGCCTTAGTTCCCTCTAGATTCAAACATGGTCTTAGCTTTATCTCCCATTCAGTGAAGTTTCACCCTTTCATTACGAATGTCGACTTGCGAAACCGGTCGGTAAACCCCCGAAATCGCCAAACCAACCAAGGATAAATCCTTACGTGAAACCGGAGTTATGCCTGGTTTACACATGAAAACTGCGTTGTGCCACAGCAGCAACCCTCATGCATTGTGAACATGAGCCATCATAGTGGGACTACGACTGCGCATACCAAACGCGTCCGTAATCCCATTTCCAGGTTAGCACCCAACACCTTCTACATCCTGCGCATATCGTCTTCCCTCTTACTATATGAGACGATGCTTGTTGTGTAATTTACTGACTAAAATACTCCTCGTCTTTATGTTTATGGTATGGCTTACATTTCTGCCATCTTTGCGCGCCCGGGACTGAGATGAACTGGGACTCGAACTCGAGACCCTAATGGGGGGAGTGGATCGTCCACCCATGAGATGCCAAAGCTCAACCAGTGACGAGGCTGAGCACAAAGTCGAAGCCGACATCAGGTCGAAAACTAGTACTAGAGTACAGAACAAGGCGAGCCGCCCTGCAGTATGATCCCTAGTTCATTGCCAAACGAGGGAACTTCCCAGGTCTAAAGAGCGTAGCCGTCGAGGGAAACGTGGCCAATCCCCATCACTCATCAGCTAAACAGCCAACCAATGTAACAAATGATTCCATGTACTTCTAACCCGCTATTCCTTTTAAAAAAAGAAAAGTGAAACAAAGAACAGGGACGTCCTCCCAAATACGCGAATGAAGGCTAGCCGACATACAGGCTCTAAGTTCCTCCATATAGCAAATGGTAAATCGAGAAAACTCCCACACCGTACCATACTACGAATAACAAACAAACGGCTCAGAACAAGCCAGCATCAATAAGAAACAACCTCCATAGCATGGGACTGGGCGGTGAACCCATGGAACGTACAACCCCCCAATACAAGCAGAACATGAGCACGAAAAGCTTGCTTGTATGCTCGCCATGGTGATGCTACGCCAATTCAGCCGACTAAATAATGCTAATCACGTCCGAACTTCGTTCGAATTAATCGAGTCACAGGGTGACCAAAAGCCCAAGCAATAAGTTCATCGCTCGTCCCATCAATGGTCTCTCCAGGCCGAGCAATGAAGGGACTAGATAAACTGGGACTCACCCCGACGCATGCATAAACGATGTAACAACGAGTAATATTCTCCAATAAAAGCAAGGCAGCATGCAACATTCTTATCACTCTGTCAAGCCCGCACATCGCCAAGCGGTAAAATTCGACCTCGTTCGAATTAACAAGCTAAAGTTCGACCTCGCTCGAACTCATAACGGGTTACAACTGTCGCGCCCCCTTTTTCCTTCGCGGAATCGGGTTCATGACATTTTGGTTGGGACAACTTTCTCCTTTTAGGAAGGGGTTTGCATTTTTTGAAGAGTCGCCACCTAACGATTTAAGGTGCGTTAGGGCACATATACGGTTTATCTATAACTACGTTTGGTAACCAGAGATAGGGTTGAGCTTGAAATTATTCTAAGGGGAAGGTGTTAGGCACCCATCAGAATCCACTAGTGTGGTTCCCGACCAGAAAGTTTTTGTAAATTTGTGCAATTAGAAAATAAACAAGTATGGCTCAAATAGTAGGGGATTTAAGTTTAAACACATAGGTGTTTGAAAAGCAAGTAATGGAAAGCAAAATTTTTAAAAAAAATTACAATCTAAGCATATTTGTAGATGTAAAGGGGGATGTCCTAGGTTTGTCTATAATATCGATCACATCAATGTAATACCCGGTATGACACTCCTCAGAGAGGGGCTACACGTGGTATTAACACACCGCTAATATTGTCCATATCTACTCGTTCCCGCCCCGTGAAGGTAATTAAAGCGAAGGTTGGTCTCGACCCCTATTGCATGCTATTACCCGTCCCTTCCTATAAGTCTCGGAGGAATTTAGGACTCCTATCCTATAATAAGGAGGTTCTAGGCAGACCCTCAAGTTTAAAGGCAAAATACTAAGGCGATAAATAAGAACACATAAGACTTCATTTAGGGGAAAACACATAAACAACTAGAAGGCTCAGATACACCTCCACAAGTAATGCACACAGACAACACGACTCATACACATGTAAGGTCTGTATTTGAACTCAGAATTCTAAAGCATGGTATCTAAGTGATAACAGCAGAACCAGATCTATTACATGACTCAGAAAAGAAGTTTGAATCGGGCTTGCATACTGATTTTAACAGGTTGATAGTTAGACACTAATCACATAGACGGTTCTGATTTTATTTAAAGTTGATTGCCTACGGCTTGTCTAGGCGTAAAATAATATGCAGCAGTTATTCAGAATTATTAAAATAGTTTGGAGATTGTTTTTCCCTAAAACATGATGTTCTAAATATTGCAAAGGCACGCAGAGATTATTACCAGTTTGTTTAAAGCAGGATGAAACTGTTGATACTCCTTTTCATGCATTAGTAATTTAATTAAGCGTAGCTGAGTGAGTATGAATGAGAACCTAATCATGGTATCTAATGATTTATATGCAGGATTTCTAAAGCAGGAATTCTAAATGCACAATATAATTGCAGAATTTCCTAAGAGCAGGATTTCTAAATGCACAACATGGATGCAGAATTTCCTAAAAGCAGGATTTCTAAATGCACAGCATGGATGCAGAATTTCCTAAGAGCAAGATTTCTAAATGCACAGCATGAATCCTAAGCATGATTTCTATTGCGTAATTAGGAATATAAACCTAATAACATGTTTTCTACCCTTAACAATTATAGCATGCATATTTACCCCCATCTCTTTCACTAGCCAACCCCAATAATTGTTTATAACAAGTTATTACAGACCAATCATTGAAATGAATTACATAAAAAAAAATTACACTATAGAGAGCCTGAAAGCAGGCCCAAACTTACTTTCAGCACCTGATTAGGACTTCCTCCTTGAATTATGTAATAAATCACCTCAAGTGCCAAGATTGTTCCATAGTCTTCTCATATCTCGGTGTGTCAGAGTTCCCTAAGGACCTCAAGGGATCCCGGGCAGTGCTCACACCCAGACTGCATAGACAAGACAGAATAAGTGTAGTATAGAAAGGCCAGGTTTTATGTGTCCAAGTTCAGAGGGAGCTCCAGGGTCCCAAGGCAAGGCTTACACAAAAGGGGCAGAACCTAGTGGTCTAAGAGTATATGTGAGAGTGCTTGACATAAATTTAAAAGAGTTGAGTTGGAAACAGTTTTGAAACCGCATGTTTGAAATAAGTTTTGGAAAAAGCAATAGAAAAGTTTGCCTTAGGGAAAACAATTTCGAAAGGAGAAGGGAACAGGAGTAACAACAACTTGGAACAAGCTAGCACACACAGAACAAATTCAAAGAATAGTATCATCTCAACATTCACAAGCAGGGAAGTAAGGGGTTAGGGACATAGAAGGCCCAAATCAGAAACACCTAAACATGGCTGATAAGAGATGTATATAGACCAGCAAGTACAAAGAACAAGTAGGAACTGATTGGCCTTCAGAACACAAACAATTACTACTTCAAAGTGTTAATAAGGGAATCGTGCTTGAAATTAGAATAGTAATAAGACATAGTAGTCTTGTTGAGGATAGGGGTCTACATAATTAGTCATGCCACTTAGTGTTAAACAAGCACATTTAAGAGTCTATAATGCTAACATGGCATACTAGTCGAGGGGAATAAACAAGAACTCAAGTAAACATGTTGATTACACACTTGAACAAGGGAGGGCAAACTTAAGCATGCTGAATAAAGCAGTAGACAAGAAGGGCACTTAAACACATGAGCCATTAAGTCAGTGCAGAAGGAGACATGGGTTAACAGACATGGAGCACATAGAGTTTGAGTTTCATAATTGAACTAGGAACATACTAGTTAAGGAAGTATAGTGTAGAAAAGCAAAGCAAATAGAGTTCCACAATCTAGCCTTGGCTTTCAGCCAGCTAGCCAAGCAGTTAACACAAGTAGCAAAGAAAGAAGAGAGAGTTTGAGTGTGTGTGTGTGTGTGTATTATAAACTATTGTTCGTGTGTTAAGACTGTAGAAGAG